ACACCCCGTCAATGTCATATGCTGCAGGCTCTACCACAAGGAATCCAGAAGAGGAAAGAGTCACTCGCTGTTGACACAGTTGAAACTGCGTGCAAAGAGCGAAGTGAATCATGCGAGCAGCATACCCAAAACGACTCCGCACAACCCCTAGCACAAGTAGGAGTTCCTATGAAGAGTGCTGTTGCGCTGACCCATAAAGATGCCGAAGAACCACCAGTACAAGATAGAGACTCTGGACTGAATGCCGCAGAAAGTTCATCACCTGCTTGCGCTGCAGCTCCGCAGCAGATTTTTCATCATGGTGCAGTGTCGGAAGATGATATGCAGATCTCTACGGATGCAGCAATACTGAAACGTCGCACATCGTCCAGCTCGGACTCAAGCAAAGGGAGTGACCCAGCGTCAGTGACTAGGGAGTAACGCCGTCGCCGAAAGTCCATGCCAAAGGGGAAGTGTCACCGATCCCGATCTAGGAGGCCTGCTGGGGGTTCACGGGAAGCCTCAGCGCCAACTCTTGGGACTGATCAAGTGGGACGATAGGCGAATCGGAAGATAGTCACCATGGCGCAGTCTGAGCGACTCATATTTGCCACCTTGAACGGACGCGGCCTTAGGTCTTCGCAGAAAAAAGCACAGCTCCGTAGACTTCTCAATCGGAAGCGTCTTGACTTTGTCGCCATCCAAGAGACAAAGATCGAGAGCGAGGAAGAGACCGGGAAGGCCCTGCGGCCTTTTCTGTCTCAGTTTAATGTGTGTGTCTCACATGCTAAAGGTATGTCAGCGGGCTGTTCGTTATTTCTGAGAAAAAGCCTACCGTGTTCAGCATTCTGCACTAGTGTTGATGAAGAGGGCAGGTATATATGCTGTGATTTTTTGTTGCAAGGAGTGCCAGGGAGAATTATCAATCTATATGCGTTTAATGATGTTCCGAAACAACTTGAGGTATTTGAAAAAGTGCGTAATTTAACGTCGACAGATGCACGGTACTTATGGGAGATTTCAACTGCGTATGTGAAGCTATTGATCGTTATAATTCGTCTGGAAAGAGAGACAGGAGTGGTGAGCTTTTATCCGGTATTGTAGATAACTCAGGACTAATTGACATTGGGGTCTCGAATCGGGCAACAGCATATACAAGAGTACAAGGCAGTTCTCATGCTCGCCTTGACCGGATTTACGTGTCCTCATCACTCCTATCTCGTAAAATTTCCTGCAGCACCGAAGCTGTATCATTCTCAGACCATTGTATTGTCATAGCGCAAATTGGTGAAAATCGTCACAAACAATTCCGTCCCCAGTGGGCCCTTTGGAAAATGAATGCGAAGCTCCTCTGTGATCAGGAATTCATGAATCGCGTCCAGATGGCTTTGAGGCAATCCTTTTCGATTGGTTTTCGTATCTTCGCTGCTTGGGAGCTTTTTCAACAAGAAGTTCGTGCTATAGCTTTAGAAATTGGGGCTGTTAAGTCTTTCTATAGAAAGAATGATGAAAAGATACTTGTTAAAAGTCTTTGCAATCTTTATGAGATGGAATGCGAAATGCCGGGAAAATACATCAAAGACAATGAGAATATTAAGAGCCAACTACAGAGATATGATGCTGCTCGCTACCAAGGGGCACGTATTAAATCTCGGAACCAGCGCACTCTAAATTCTGAGCAACCGACGCGCCAAGCTTTGCTTGATGAGCAACGCCATGCGATTTCTAAAGTTATTCCAGACTTGTACTTTAACGATGTGCTCATAAAAAATAACGGAGACATTACTTTGGCATTCGAAACGTACTATAACAGCTTATTTAGCTCTCCCTCTGATGATCTTGACGCTCACCTCAAGGCTAGTTTTGTTTCTCTAGTGAACCCCTTGAAGGACAATGATTGTGCAGTCATTAATGGGCCCATTACTATACAGGAAATTGAGCAAGCAATCGACAACTTGCCTTTATTGAAAACACCGGGCCCTGATGGCATCTTAGGCGAATTTTACAAAGCTTTCAAGAAAACACTTGCTCCTATATTGCTGAATATCTTTCAGATGAGTTATGACATGGATACACTCCCCCAATCTTTTTGCAAAAATCACACAGTGTTAATACCGAAAACAACTGACAAGAAAAAACTTCGCTTCGTCGAGGGCTACAGACCAATATCGCTGTCAAACGTGGACTACAAAATTTTCGCAAAAGTATTAGCAAATAGGTTGCAATTTGCTATGTTGATCCTCATTGGGTCTCATGAGACATGTGGGATCAGAGGTCGATCCATACAAACCAATATACATGTCGCTCGAACAGTGCTTCAATACTGTCATGGTTCTCAAAAACATCTTGCAATGCTACAGGTAGACCTTGCAAAAGCCTTTGATCGTGTTCGTCATTCCTTCCTTTTTTCTCTTCTCGAACAAGCTAATGTTGGCAAAGTTGTTCTTAAAGGCGTTAAATTATGCTATAATGAATGCTCAACTCGTCTGATAGTTAAAGGTCAACCCTCCAAGCCAGTTTCTATTCGCTCTTCTGTAAAACAGGGATGCCTGATGTCAGCTGTTTTATTTGCACTTTATCTAGAACCACTGTGCTTAAGCATAATACAGCCGAGTTGCAATTCGTGGCTTTAGAATATTAGGCAGTGAGGTTAAAGTATTGGCTTATGCAGACGATGTCGCATTCTTTTGCACAGATAAACCAAGTCTCGAAAATGTGGTATATACTATTGAAAAGTTTGGCGTAGTATCAGGAGCTCGTTTAAATGCCTCTAAAAGTTTAGGACTGTGGTTTGGCTTGTGGGGTAGCACACCGAACCACTTTTCAGGGATTAATTGGACAAGAACTCTTCCAACATACCTCGGTGTACCATTGCATGCATATAGATTCAGTGCGCATTACTGGAAGGAACGCGTCCCTTAGCTTGAACGACAGGCCCAGACATTTGTGCCCTATCAACTTTTGATATTTGGGAGAGCTGAAGCTTGCAATACTTTCTTAGCGACAAAGCTTTACTATGTATTGAAACTTATTCATTGCGCAAGATTCTTTATACAACGCTTTCATCGGATTTTCGCTACTTTCATATGGTCTTCGACTTTTGAGCCCATGCGTCGTGATAATATATTTAAGCCAGTTAGTGAGGGTGGGTTAGGACTAAAACACCTTTATCTATGGCAAATAGTGTCCCGATTCTTCTTTTTTCGAGACAATTCCCATCCTGTAATCCGTTCCTTCTTGCAGGTTACACTTGTTGATTGCTTACCAGATTTAATTGTTTCAACCAACTTCTCCGAACGCCCATGCTTGTGGGGATTCATGCAGGAAGTTTACCTCGCAGTTCAGTTCCTTAAAGCTTGTTTTTCTGTAGAATACCTGTACACAGTATCGCGCAAGGTGCTGTATGAGGACCTACTGAGTATACTCTTCCCACCTCCATTGTGCCGTTCACTGTACTCCACTCTTCCAGGTCACGATGTGTTGAAGCGAGTGTGCCAAATGTACATTCCACCGAATTCAAAAACGTTCTTCTATAAACTCCACTCTGAAACATTCGCAGTAAACGCATGGTTAGAAAGAAAAGCTATTTTCATTCCGTCTGTTAACTGCCGTCTATGTGATGTGCCGGAAACGATTGAACATTGCTTTGTTAGCTGCAAAGATGCCATGCTATTTTGGGATGTCTTTCATTGAGCACTGAAAAAGCGCTTCGTCATTAATTCTCACACAATACGTCATCTTCTACCAGCAACGCTTGATGAAGTACCATATCATATGTTTTTCCTCATGGGTTTGCACAGCTTGTGGAAGACACGAATGCAAGACCGCAATGCAGAGCCCACCACCTCTTCAAGCGCACACTTCATTCAAATGGCTATCCCCCTAAAAAACATTTACGACGAGCTGGACTTTAGACCGGACTGGTACTCCGTCTTAGAGAACTGTTTGACCTCACCCCTTTTTTGTTTGTATAACACGATGTGAAGAACTCTCCATGTGAGGAACTCGCGCTGTGTTAGCCATTTAGTGTTTATGAGTAACGCTTGAACGCTTACTTTCGCGATTTGATTGTACGTTTGTTCGCTTGATTTAGTCTTTATTGCCCAAGTACTATAATAAATACCATGAAAAAACAAACTCCGGCGTGGTCTAGTGGCTAGGATACCTGGCTGTCACCGAGGAGGCCCGGGTTCGATTCCCGGCGTCGGAAGTGTTCGGTCTCATGGTGTAACGGTTAGCACGCCGGACTCTGAATCCAGCGATCCGAGTTCAAATCTCAATGATACCTTTATTTTTTTTTCTCACCAAGCACGGCCATTTTTACTGAGCGGAAGCCGCTTTGCACGCAAGTCCTCTATCTCTGGCGTGGTCTAGTGGCTAGGATACCTAGCTCTCACCCAGGAGGCCCGGGTTCGATTCCCGGCGTCGGAAGTGTTCGGTGTCATGGTGTAACGGTTAGCACTCTGGACTCTGAATCCAGCGATCCGAGTTCAAATCTCGGTGAGACCTTTATTTTTTTTTTCTCGCCAAGCACGACTATTTTTACTGAGCGGAAGCCGCTTTGCACGCGAGTCCTCTATCTCTGGCGTGGTCTAGTGGCTAGGATACCTGGCTCTCACCCAGGAGGCCCGGGTTTGATTCCCGGCGTCGGAAGTGTTCGGTCTCATGGTGTAACGGTTAGCACTCTGCACTCTGAATCCAGCGATCCGAGTTCAAATCTCGGTGAGACCTTTATTTTTTTTTCTCGCCAAGCACGACTATTTTTACTGAGCGGAAGTCGCTTTGCACGCTTGTCCTCCATCTCCGGCGTGGTCTAGTGGCTAGGATACCTGGCTCTCACCCAGGAGGCCCGGGTTTGATTCCCGGCGTCGGAAGTGTTCGGTATCATGGTGTAACGGTTAGCACTCTGGACTCTGAATCCAGCGATCCGAGTTCAAATCTCGGTGAGACCTTTATTTTTTTTTCGCCAAGCACGGCTATATTTACTGAGCGAAAGCCGCTTTGTATGCGTGTCCTCCATCTCCGGCGTGGTCTATAGTGGCTAGGATACCTGGCTTTCACCCAGAAGGCCCGGGTTTGATTCCCGGCGTCGGAAGTGTTCGGTCTCATGGTGTAATGGTTAGCACTCGGGACTCTGAATCCAGCGATCCGAGTTAAAATCTCAATGAGACCTTTATTTTTTTTTCTCTCCAAGCACGGCTATTTTTACTGAGCGAAAGCCGCTTTGCACGCGTGTCCTCCATCTCCGGCGTAGTCTAGTGGCTATGATATCTGGCTTTCACCCAGAAGGCCCGGGTTCGATTCCCGGCGTCGGAAGTGTTCGGTCTCATGGTGTAACGGTTAGCACTCTGGACTCTGAATCCGGCGATCCGAGTTCAAATCTCGGTGAGACCTTTATTTTTAGGGGCGAAGCTCCTTAGGGCGTGGGCTGTGCGTCCGCTGTAGCCTGTATGTAGCCACCTCTAGTTTAGTTCTTGCAGTGTTCACTAGATGGCGGTACCGTCTCCTGTATGTAGCCACCTCTCGTTTAGTTCTTGTAGTGTTTACTAGATAGTGGTACTTGTAGCTGATGATGAAGAGATGCAAGATGTTATAAACTAGAAAGTGGTACTTGTAGTTGATGAAAGACGCGAGATATTATAAAATAGGAATGATGTCACATATGGCGCGTGTCATTGGTTGAAGGCAATCGTTCGATTTAGTGCGGCGGCGTACGCTAGGGGGAGCGTTGTAATAAAATCCGTTCGCTGTTGGCGCGCGCTCGGAGTCGCCGGATGGATAACGCTGCACAGCGGAGAGAGCGCAAGGCGGCAGCAGCGCGCGCTCGCAGACAGAATCCCGATGTGCGAGCGCGCGAGGCAAGGGACATCGCAAGCCATCCATTGTCTAAGAACGAATAAAAGTTGATTTGTGTATATCACACACAGCGTTTCTCACGTCTTTACATGATGATCGACTGGGCGAATTACACGGAAGATTCACAGTTTACCGATGAATCCCTCCGGAGCTTCGCCCATTCATCATCATTCACCCCGTGAATATGCCGTAACTTTTTTTTACTCGCCAAGCACGACTATTTTTGCTGAGCGGAAGTCGCTTTGCACGCGTGTCCTCCATCTCCGGCGTAGTCTAGTGGCTATACCTGGCTCTCACCCAGGAGGCCCGGGTTCGATTCCCGGCGTCGCAAGTGTTCGGTTTCATGGTGTAACGGTTAGCACTCTGGACTCTGTATCCAGCGATCCGAGTCCAAATCTCGGTGAGACCTTTGTTTTTTTTTCTCGCCAAGCACGGCTATTTTTACTGAGCGAAAGCCGCTTTGTATGCGTGTCCTCCATCTCCGGCGTGGTCTAGTGGCTAGGATACCTGGCTTTCACCCAGAAGGCCCGGGTTTGATTCCCGGCGTCGGAAGTGTTCGGTATCATGGTGTAACGGTTAGCACTCTGGACTCTGAATCCAGCGATCCCAGTTCAAATCTCGGTGAGACCTTTATTTTTTTTTCGCCAAGCACGGCTATATTTACTGAGCGAAAGCCGCTTTGTATGCGTGTCCTCCATCTCCGGCGTGGTCTAGTGGCTAGGATACCTGGCTTTCACCCAGAAGGCCCGGGTTTGATTCCCGGCGTCGGAAGTGTTCGGTCTCATGGTGTAATGGTTAGCACTCGGGACTCTGAATCCAGCGATCCGAGTTAAAATCTCAATGAGACCTTTATTTTTTTTTTCTCTCCAAGCACGGCTATTTTTACTGAGCGAAAGCCGCTTTGTATGCGTGTCCTCCATCTCCGGCGTGGTCTAGTGAGTCCGCTTCTGGTCGCAAAAGCGTTCGGACGTGTGTATCATGACCTCCGTAGGAGGGGCATTGGTGGCTCAGCTTAGCCGCGGTTCCAGGATTGGAATGCGCCAGTAATATGCTGTCATTTTGCTCCTCTGCCGAATGGATATGTGGTTCAGAGCACTGTTTTTCTGCATGAGGATGTAAAAGAAAGACCTTATCACGCGGAAGCCTTTCGCAAGCCACTTTGTCGGCGTGTTCCGCTCCACGGAGGTTCTTGCGCTCGGCGCATATCAAATGAACCACGTGTGGGGGTGACGTGCAGAAGCACTGAAGGTGTGATGAAACTGTTACCTAAGCCGCAATTGACTGTAAGAGGCCTCAAATGCACGTTAATAGACCCAAGCCACCGCGACGTTCTTCTGAAGCTGCATTGGTGTCTTTAACACGTTCGAGAAGAAGACGTACGAAATGCATTGACCCCTTACGGGACGGTGCTTGACGTATAAGTGGTGAATCGACGGCGACACTTTTCAAGAAAAGTTAGAAAGAGGGTAGGAACTGCAAGCAAATAGGTAGCAACTGCAGCGGCTACTACGTTTCTTGGACTGTTACAACCCCTTTGCTACCTGTTTACTACCTACGTTAGTAAACAGTTACTAACTGCAACCATTGCTAATTTTTGCGACCTGTTTACTACCTACGTTATTAAACAGTTGTAACTGGAATGAAAAAGGTAGTAATTGCAGCCGTTACTACTTTTTTGCCCCGTTACTACCTTTTTGCGACCCGGCTGTCGACTATCTTATCGAAAATAGTGTGCGATTCCGATTCTGCTCATCTATAAGAGCAATCGTATCGACGTATCATCAATAAACGAAAAAATGACGCAGAAGATATCCAATATAGATCAAGAAAATACATTTTGTGTAAAATTACGCCACCTAGATATGTAAACGTCATTGTGATAATGTCGAAACGGAGAAGTACAAATTCACGACCCATAAGCAAGTGTTACACGCGTTGTAATAAACAATTACATCAAACTTAGTAAATTGCAGCAAATCAAGACCGGCGGATCGAAATAATCAGACGGTCACAATAAGCCCCGATGAGCGGTCACAATTATTACACTGCGGCTTGTCTCCAAATATTATTGTTTGGGCGCGTGTAATCCAAAGAACGATTATTACCTTTTAACCACTGATATATTGGCCATGTGAATCATTTAAATGCACTGAGAATGAGTTCGGTATCTTGTTACGGCCACCGTACATAATGCCGTTTTCTGGCCCTTTTATATAGATATGGCGGATAATTTTTATAAGCAAATCTGAATAAAAGTCTTGTGCTACGTCCTTGAACACACGTAACCAGGTAGTATATTATAATAGTTTAGGTTCACATTTGTTATAATTCATCCTAAAACACAAGTGCTCCCTTGTGCCAGACTAGCACCTGCCATGGGCTATATATTTCCCACGCTTACTTCTAACTGTTTGCGTAAAAAAGTAGTGAACTTGTTAGGTTTATGTGAACTTCGTAGTAGAGTACCAAGTGGTCTAAATTGTTAACCACTTATTCTAACCCCCCCCCCCCCTCTTCGTCTTGATTGCACCCCACGCTACATTACCCGAACTTGTGTAGTAATGAGACACTGATTGGCTAAGATTAGCAATGGAAAAATTATATGCCAAAATGAATGAACAGTGTAGCGTCGGTTACTACTTTTTTTCTTGAAACCTCTAAAAGTAGTAACAGTCACTAAATGCTAGAATTAACAGCAAAGGTCTTAGGCCCTATCCTATGCCATATATATAACCACTCCTTGCGTACGTCAACATACCCATCCTGTCTGAAAACTGCTAAAGTAGTACCGGTGTACAAGGAAGGTGATCGCTCTGATCCCTCAAGTTATAGACCTATATCTGTTTTAAGCATAATAAATAGCATATTTGAAAGAATTCTAGCAAAACGGATGCGTGTCTTCCTAGAAAAATATCGTGTAATATGCGCCGAGCAACATACATTTCGGGAGCACCATTCCACCGCCATTGCTGTACTATCTGTATCACAAAAAATTAACGAAGCATTAAATAATAACCTCCTTGTAGCAGTAGTTTTTCTTGATTTAAAGAAGGCATTTGATACAGTTGACCATGATATATTACTAATGAAATTAAGACACTACGGTTTACGTGGCAAAATTTTTGACTTATTTTCTAGTTACGTGAGCGAACGTCAACAAATGGTGATTATGCATAATCTCACTTCCTCCCTGTTAAATATACACACAGGGGTACCACAAGGCTCCGTTCTTGGACCCTTACTGTTCTCACTGTACGTAAACGACCTACCAAACATATTGACATCGGCAGAGATGCTAATGTACGCTGATGATACAGCAGTTATTGTTACTGCAGACAATATAAGGGATCTCGAGCATAAAAGTAATGTAGAACTAAAAAAATGTTTGTCAGTGGTTTATAGCGAATAAACTAACATTGAATGCAAAGAAAACTAAATACACTATTTTCCACTCCCGTTATCGAGATATAAGTAATGAGTCCATTTGCATTACAATAAATAACGGCGTGCTTGAGAAGACGAACGAATTCAAATATCTGGGTGTAATTCTCGATAGCCAGGTAAACTGGCAAAGCCACATTAACTCTGTATGCGCTAAACTGGGATCTGGATGCAGTACATTATTAACCGCTAGAAATTATTTTAAAAGTAGTATTCTCCGCATTCTCTATTTCACATTTTTTCATTGTCACCTCACATATTGCATAGATTCATGGGGATGGACTTTTAAAACATATCTAGAACCCTTACGTATACTACAAAAGCGGGCACTTCGAATAATAAACAATGCTAGATATGATCAACACTGCGCGCCATTGTTTCGTAATATGGAAATCATACCATTCGATAATTTAGGACAGCGAAAAATTGCACTTACCGTCTATAATGTCATTTCTTATAACCTGCCCTTTCATATATCACTATTTTCATCCTCTTGCCGCCTTACCAGACGTGCCACATTACATAATTTCAATCTTCCGCCTACTAACAATGTTTATGGCAAACGATTGCTACAATTTGCTGGAGTAAAGGTCTGGAATGATATACCATACCAAATAAAAGAAAGCAAAAGTTTTGCCTGTGCTCTTAAAAAATACTTTCTGCAGAAAAATGAACAGGTACACTAACACAAACCTCGTTGTAATCTCCACTTCGTTATGTATAGATTATATTTCTAACAAAATCATACTTGACATGGTATACGTACCTTTATGTATTTGATGTATTGTATACATGCAA